AAAAAAAAAAAATTAAAAAAAAAAAATTTTTTTTTTTAAAAAATTTTTTTTTTTTAAAAGAATTTTTTTTTTTTTTTATTTTGACATATTGTGGAAGATCTGAACTTTTTTTTCAAAGCAATCGTACTGCTTTAACTACATAGGGACAAAATATAAAGCGCGTAAGCGCCGCGTCGCTGTCTAACGCATAAGCATTGGTACGGAACCGATAGGAATGTTAACAAAATGTATACTTATTGTTAAAATCTCCATAAAATGTCTGATAATTTGATGTGCATATGTCTAATGATCATTTTTGACCACCAAATGGCTCATTTTTTTACTTTTTTCTCTATATCTCCGAAACCGCTGGACCTACCTTCATGAAAGTTGTATCGGTTCTTCATCTTGTCAATACAAATAAAATGTTTTTTGAATTATTAAAATCGGACGCTCCGTTCTCTTAAAAACTGAGTTACCGTTTTCGGAACTTTTTGCCCCGTATCTTCGGAACGGCTTGACCTGCCTTTGCCAAAAACTAATCAGCACGTCTCCTTATCAATACGGATCGAATGTTTTTTGAATTATTCAAATCCGTTGATCCGTGTTCCCGAAATCGTCGACGAAAATTTGTATCCGCACATACATACACACACATACATACATACATACACACACACATACACACACACACACATACACACATACATCCATTTTTTCTAAGGTATGCCAAAATGTTCAGAAACCTCTGAAACGTAAAGATATATAAAAATTTTCATTTTCGATTTTTTTGCGATTACTATAACTTGCCCTACGGGAAGTTAATAAAAACTCGAAAAAAATTGCATCACAATAAAAGTGTCCATTTTTTGAACCAGTTTTTATTCCGTCATCGAAAGTTATGTACACGTCTTCTTGATGAAATAACAAAAGTACTGTAATGCTTTTTGCGGTTCTTTCAATTACTCTTTATTTCATAATGTTTTAAAAATTATTTCATAATATTTTTGGTTTATGCTTTTTTAATATTTGATATATCACGATGTTGGCTCTCTTAAGTATATCCGGCAATAAAATAATAAAAAATGTGTGCGTGAAATATTAGATGTTATATAATTTCACTTCCACCAAAAAATGTTAATTGCTTAGAAGCATGCCACAATAGTAAAGAAATTATTATTTCTTTCATTAACACGTTGAATGCCAAGATAACACCATAATTTTTTTACACGGGCCATGGTAACATTATTAGATAATTTGGTTAAAAATGTAATAAAGAAACTTAATGTATTAAATAAAAGAAAATCTTATTATAAAATTCCTGGAAAAACACGATTTTTTATATATGACTCAAGTGGAACTTTTTGGAAACTTATTTGAATAAATATTCTCTCTTTTATAAAAAATTGTAAAAATTCATTTTGAATTATTTGATCAATACAGTTGATGTATTTGAATTATTTGTATCTAACACTGACATGTTATATAGTTTATAATGAAACATTATCTAAAATTGCAAAAATAGCAGTAGTTTATACATTTTACCAATTCATAATCATCACCGAGTACTAATAAATACTTCATATAGCAAAATCGATAAAAAATTGATGCAAGTTCCTGGAAATCAGTTTATATATAAATTTTGAATTCCATGAACATTTCATCATAAAATCATTAGAAAAAAATACATCTAAAAATATTGACAAAGCGCCCAGAGGGCACTCCCAAAATAGTTGTACAAAGAGAAACTTAAACCTAATGCATATCGCACCTTTTAAAAAAAATATATAATGCCATTACATAATAGTTCTCAAATGATATTTTACGTTGTAAAAGAGTAATATTATATTTAAAAAAATATTTAATATTAAAATAAAAATATTTAAACTTTAAATCTATGCGATAATTGTGTTTGTGGAATATGGAGCACTCTGAAACATTTAATATTATGATATTATTATTTTCAATACAAAAAGAACGAAAAAGATAAAATCAACAAGTAAATTTTTTTAATATATTTTACTATAACAGTATCTAATTTTTTTGGTAGATTGATTTTGTAGATGTACTTTTCCCAAAATTTTTTATAAAATTGTAACTCACAACAACAATAATGTTTTATTGACTGTTTGGCTTGAAACAGAATTTCTTGCATGAATTTTTTTTATTTGTTTTTTTTTAAATGCCACTGCTATTTCAAAAGTTAAATTTTTGTAATATATTTCATTATAACAAAATCTATTTTTTTGGAAAATTGATTTTGTAGATGTACTTTCCCCAAAAAATTATAAAATTTTAACTCACAACAGAAATAATATTTTATTGACTGTTTCGTTTGAAACAGAATTTCTTGCATGAATTTTCTTTAAATTTGTTTTTTTAAATACTTCTGCTATTTCAAAAGTTAAATTTTTATAATATATTTTATTATAGCAGGATCTAATTTTATTGCAAATTGATTTTGTAGACACTTTTTCCAAAATTTTTCATAAAATAGTACTTCACAAAAAAAAGTTTTATTGACTGTTTGGCTTGAAACAGAATTTCTTGCATGATTTTTTTTTATTTTTATATTTCTAATTCTAAACAATAAATTAATATTGAAACAAAATGTAAATTATAATTACACATAGCTCAAAGTTCATCTAACCATTCGACCCACATTTCCAAAACAAATTCTTGTTCTTAATTTGAACTTTTGTGTTTTTTGCCGAAGGCAGATGATTAATCTCACCAGGAAATGAGTAATCGTTCTCACGAAAGTTATGTAATTTCTCTCTATCTTAAATCAAAAATAAATCTATAAAATTTTCGCAATCTTATAAAATCTTGTCTTATAAAATCCACCTACTGGAGGTGATCCATCGTCGACGCCCATGTTGGGATTTAGATTTTTATTATATGTGTGATGAAATAACTAAAACAATTCTGTAATGAATTAATTGAGTTTTGTTTTATAAAGAAATCGTTCATCGACCTTTATCAAATGGCGTTTGATTTTTTTGAAATTCGTGAAGCAACTTTTGAGAAATCTTTGGCAAAAGGTCAAAATATGACTCACATGCATACATACTTTTGTCAACAGAGCAAAATTGGCAAATAGGATTTACTAGCCAAAACATTTAATTTTAATAAGTCAATAAATCCCAAAAGGTTGCCGAACCCTAGTCAAAACACTTTCTCCATGTCTGAGAATAATTATTAATATCTTCCGTGGTTCAGGCGAACCTTGATCATGATAAAGACATTTGCATTACATCATATTTAACAGTTGCTCAAGATAAAAAATCGTCAGTAAATTTCTGTACAAGAATAAATAATTATCTATATAACGACATGTAATTTAAAAGCAGTTGTTGTTATATGGTGTAATCCATTTCTCTGTTACAACTTCCTGGGTAATAAGAGTTGTTGATTCATTTTAGAGATGAAAAATATCTGATATGAACAATTTCTCTTAGATATGCATATCTAGTATATATATTAGGGTGGTCCTTAATATGGACATTTTTGAATTTCCTTGCTCCCAAGGGCTCAAATGGTTCCAAATTGATAAAAAAACAATTCTCTGAAAGTTTCAGCACTTAATATTGTCTTTTAGATAGAGCGCAATTCAATAAAAGTTTTATATAAAAAGAGTATGATGTAAACAATTTATATTTTTAAGGATAAGGAATATTTATCGTAAACAGATTTTCAAAAATAATATTTATTTTTTAATCGAGTTATATAGGATATAACAATAGTTATGGAATGCTTACGATTATTAAATAATTATTTTTTTCCCTCAATATTGATTATTTTTTCTTAATAGTTTTAATGAATACTATTAAAAATTATATCTGTGTGGTAAAATTAAATTTATTACTCTGATAATGTTTACATAACAGTATTCTATATATACCGTAATAGAAGTATATTATTCCTTCGAACAGGCAGTCGAAATAGATTGAATTGAAACTTCTTTCTTTTATACCATGATGGAATACTCCTTCTTTCACTCTTAGGTAGATATCCTCACCAGGTCTGTAATTTGAAACAATTTTTTTTCAAAAGCAATTATTTTGTTAAAAAAGCAGCAGTTATTTGAATCATTCAAATCGGATGCTTAGTTTTCTCAAAAACTGCCATTTTTTGAACATTTATCTCTGTATCTTCAAAACTGCTGAACCTGCCTTCGCCAAAATCTAATCACCTCTTCTACCTATAAGTACAAATCTAAAGTTTTTTAGATCATCAAAATCGGATACTCCGTTCTCACAAAAATTTGATTTGTATTTTCTGCACTCTTTATTCCTTAACAAAAATTTTTATTTTCGATTTCGGCCCATTACTATAACTACCCTACAGGCAGTTAAAAATTGTAAAAACCTGCATACGAAGTGTATGTCGAGCGACAATACTACTGTGTCACGAAACTAAAGATAAAACCACCCAAAAACAGGTTTTACCGCAATGTATTTCGTTTATTAAATATATAAATATCTATCATAACAAAGAAATTAAATGCTATCTGAATGTTACATAATAATAACTACAGTCAAGCCTCCGATGACGCCAGTGAGTACGCGCCATGTATTTATTATGGAAACTGTGTTATATGGAAATTAATAAATTCCAAAGGCAAATTGCAAATTATTATTAAATTTACAAGTTCATATAGATATGTGATAAAAGCTGAACTAAAATACTATTTCCCAACAAAAAAAAATCGAACATAACTTAAAAATGACTTACGTTTTGTGAAGTAACTCTGAAATAGCAAAAACCGATGTCGAACACAGCTACTATATAACTTGGCATGTTTAAACAAAAATATTGTAAAATTTACAATAATCGCTGAAAATGAAACTTATGTTTAAAATTTTTACACCAATATCTAGTTATTAGAAGGTCATTTATAGGGCGCATGGAATGCACTTATTACGTGTTAAACGAACACCATGTTGATGGCTCTGAAAATCGCAATCCTAGAAGCTTGACTGTATTAATTGATCTTGACAAAAAAATGCAATACTCACTTATCACACTCTGTTATGAAGAATCCAACATCCAACATCCAACTCTGTTATGAAGAATCCAAGCTCAAGTCAAATAAAATTTCACTATCACAAACTGTCCTGATCATTTCGGCATCTCGAACATACGACGATTACGACCCGGGTTGCTTCGGCGTCCCGGGTCATAACGCCTATGTTGAGCCTACCGAATGGAGGCACCAAATGAATTCAAGAGCTCGAAATTTGCCTTAACGTCAACTATCCACAGACCATAGACAATGGTAATATGCATAGTAAAGATAAGAACTTCGGTTTGTATACAAACCCGATTGAAGTTGTATCGATATGGTAGATAGAACTGCCCTCTGCTTGGTGTAGAAATGTAATTGATTTTAATTCTTAACCAAAATATTTTGATGACAGCACAGACGGTGCGGCATCTTGTAAGCAAATATTAAAAAATCGGTCAATGCTTTGGTAAATGAATGTTATTTTATTGGTACCGGCAAATTTGTTGGTTTCTTATTGAAAAAAAAACAAATGATTTTTGCATTTTACTGGTAATTTCTATGTATATTCAGGTTTTTGTACACAGACGTGAAATCTAACCAATGTTATTATTTTCACGTTTGTGTCTTTTCGAAGTTAATTTTTAAATGTGAAACGCTAGATCGAAATGCAAAGACGTAACTTTTTGGCGTACATTGATATGAAAACTAATATAATATAAAACTCAAAACATTCATTTAAATGAATCAAATGAATATATGAAGAAAATTTTTATTGGTATAACGCAAAAAGTAGTAAATACTAGTGGGGCGCATGGCATCGTGCCTTAAGGCAAATTGCTGGAACTTCCCATACCGTAACGAAATGTTCGGGGAATATTAAATGTTTTCAAACAGATTATTATAAATACCGAAAAATTTGTCTAATATTTATTTATAAGAAATATATAAACTGAATTACAAAGTTAAAGTTATATATTTAAACTATATACGTGTGCTTCAAAACTTCAGCCAGAATTAAAATTGAAATCTGAATTATTTTCAATATACAAAAAAAAAAATTTACAAAAATTTTTTTTCCAAAAGCAATTGTTTTGTCAACACAAACAGAAAGTGTTTTGAATCATTTTTGTATATTTAGCTTTGTATCTTCCAAATGGCTGGGCCTGCCTTTTCCAAAAACTAATAACCATTTCTCCCAATCATTGCTAATTGAATGTTTTTTAGATCATTCAAATCGGATGCTCTTTTCTCTCAAAAACTCGATTTCTATTTATAACAATTCAACACTGACACTAGTTGCAATAATAAACTTTAAAACGTTAATTGAAAACAGTTTTGCCAAACACTGATTTTTTAGAAATATAGGAAACATTATTTTGAATCAAAACGACAAACCATGTACAAAGACTATCTGTCTACTATTATTGCAAACATTAGCTGCAAATAAGTGTTAACTGATTGGAAATATTCCAATAAACCATCATAATTCATAAAAATAAATTTATTCGATATTTTTGCCTAAATAACTCAAATTTATTTACAGTTCAAAATAATCAACCACAACCAATAAAATAAATCTTAGATCAATTACTTCTTTAATGAAAAGCGATTCTAAATAATACGTGACCAGCCAATAAAAAAATAATAAATAAATTTCTAAAAAATTATATTCACATGTCAAAGATATTAAAAATGAAATAAGTTTTATATTATATATTTTTATTTTTTTTATAACAGATTCTTCTTCTATCAATCAAAAGATGGCTACCACCAAAGCCATCCTGAGTTACCCATGGCGCAGTTCCAAAAACTCCAAATCCAATGAGACAAATATATGTCCAAAATTGAACAAAACCTCTCAATTGAGCGAAGCAGTTGCAGCAGTTGCAAAAAATGAACTCAGAGAAGACAAATCGAGCAGGGAGCAGAGTTTGCAGCAGCTGAAGGAATGGATTGCCAAAAACAGGGACATTGAAGTAATTAGTAAAAAAAACTTTAAGGTGTAGGTAAATGATTTATTTAACTAAATTTCAATTCCAGGATTGCAGGACTGATGATTTGTTTCTTCTGCGTTTTCTTCGTGTTAAAAAATTTAGTGTCCCGATGGCGCAACAGATGCTTTTGAAATATTTGAATCTAAGGAAGACTTTTCCTCATTTTGCCTTGAAACTAGACTTTTTGTCTCCGACTGTTCAAGAAATTATTGATGCCGGGTAAATTATAAATATAATATGTTTACAATTATAAATATAGACGCTGGTGAAAAAATTGTTTTATTTTAGATATATATTCCCGTCTCCAATCAAGGATAAACATGGACGTCGAGTTGTATTCTACATTGCTTGTAAGTAGAATATTTTTCTTTCAATATTTTCCAAAAAAAACTGATAGTTTTAGTATTTGGAATTTAAAAAGATACATTGAAGATAATCATGCCAAAATTTGAAACTTGTGGTAGAAAGAGTGCGTACAAAATAGGCCCAGAACATAGATTTGCATTAAGACGCAATTTCTTGCAGTTTTTTAAACTTTTCATTTTTATTTTTTTAGCAAATTTTGATCCATACAAGTATAGCAATGCTGATCAAGCCCGAGTACACTTCATAACTTATGAAACATTATTGGAAGATCAGGAGAACCAGGTTATGGGCCTGACACATGCTGGTGATCTTAAAGGAGCTCAGGCTGCCCACGTTTCCTTGTGGACAGTTTCAGAATTTGCACGAATTGTTAAATGGGGAGAGGTATAATTAATGAGTATCCAAAATACCTATGCCAAATAAAATAAACATGTTGTTTTCAATTTATGATTATCTTGCAAAAATTATATTATTTCTTCAGCATTCTATACCAATGCGTCACAAGCAAGTCCATGTGTTGAACATGCCTTCGGCAATACGATATGTCTATGAGTTTTCAAAGACCAGGATAAGTGCCAAAATAAAGGATCGTATTATGGTAAAATCTAGAAATATTATACCTTTATATATCCAAGATCTGTATATAAATTGTATATTTTTATCCAGATTCATCAAGATTTGAATGCCATGCACGAGCACTTAGATAAAGCCTGTCTTCCAGCCGAATATGGAGGAACCATCCCAATTCGCGAAATGGTGCAACTTTGGAAAAAAGAACTTACAGACAAACGTAATGTTCTTCTTGCTCTCGACTGCATGAAATTACACAGCGATAGTGGTATCATAACCAGCAAAAATCCTGGCCAAGACTGTAATAATAATAATACAAAAGTTGCTGCAACAGAATCCATAACTGGAAGTTTCCGAAAACTGGAGATCGATTAGTTAGATATAATTTTTTTAATAGAGATATTTGTTAGGTTTGTTTATTATTATCGTTATCATTTTGTTAGGCTTAGACTTAGATAAAAGTAATAAGAATTTTAAGTAGAAGAAAGGAAATTGATTGAAATTTTGCAAGAGTTAAGGAAGAAGATACCAAGAGATAACAAAATACATCTGTTGTCAGTGGATTGGAATAAAATATTTAAGAACTTTGTAGTAATACTTACTTTTTTTCTTACCGTAACAAAATCAACTAGAAGATACAGCATCTGGAATATATCTTAGTAAAACACAGCATTGTATCCCAGGTTCTCCATTTCAGGATAATTGCCAATAATGTACATTTTGCATACTACATATTTCAGTCGATCCTCTTCTGTTTCCTTTTTGAGTTTGCTCGATCCACTCCTGTTTCCCTTTTGAGTTTGCTCGATCCACTTATTTTTCCTTGAGTATACTCGATTTACTCCTGTTTTTTTTTGAGGTTGTTCGATTCACTCCTGTTTTCTTTTAAGTTTGCTCGTTCTACTTCTGTTTCCTTTCCGAATTTGCTCATTTCACTTCTATTTCCTTTACCAATTCGCTCGATTCACTCCCTTCTTCTTTTCAAGTTTGCTGAATCTACTCCAACTTCATTTACTAGTTTGCTTTATCCACTCTTGTTTTCTTTCCCAGTTTGCTCGATTCACTCCGGTTTCCTATCCGAGTTTGCTCATTCTACTCCTGTTTTCTTTCCCAGTTTGCTCGATTCACTCCTTCTACATTCTCGAGTTTGCTCAATCCACTTTGTTTATCAAGTTTGCTGGTTCCACTCCTCATTTTTTTCAGATTGCTTGATCCACTCCTGATTCTTTCCGAGTTTGCTCAATCCACTCCAAATTTTTTTCCTAGTTTGCTCAATCCACTCCATTCATCTTTTCGAGTTTGATCGATCCACTCCAGTTTTTTCACTAGTTTGCTCGATCCACTCCAGCTTTTTATTAGTTTGCTCGATTCGCTCTTGTTTCCTTTCCCCGTTTGCTCGATTCACTCCTGTTTCCTTTTCGAGTTTTTTCATTCCACTTCTTTTTCTTTTTTAAATTTGTTCGATTCACTCCTGTTTCCTTTCTGTGTTTGCTCATTCTACAACAGTTTTCTTTTCCAGTTTGCTCGATTCACTCATGCTTCCTTTTCGAGTTTTCGAGTTTGCTCAATCCACTATATTTATCAAGATTGCTGGTTCCACTTCTTATTTTTTTCAGTTTGCTCGATCCATCATTATTTTCTTCTCATGTTTACTCGATTCACTTCTGTTTCCTTTACTAGTTTGCTCATTCTACTTCTGTTTTCTTTCCCAGTTTGCTCGACACACTCCTGCTTTCTTTTCTAAGTTTGCTCAATTCACTCCAGTTTTCTTTCCAAGTTTGCTCAATCCACTCCAGTTTCCTTTACTTGTTTGCTCATCCAACTCCTGTTTCCTTTTCTTTCGAAATTCAGTAGAAATTCGATGCTTATTTTTTCTCATTTGTGACTTGGATCCTGTTTTGTATCTTTTGCATTCAAGAACTACATTTCTCAAATATAAAATTTAGATTTTTATTAAATAATTTAAAAAAAAAAAATAACTTTACCTTGGTGTTATTCTTCAGGATCAGAGGAGGACAATCTTGTATTATCTTGCAAAGTTTCAATATTTAATTTACACTAAATATTGAACTTTTGTCTTAATGTGCAATACTTTTAAGTTCCATATTTAATCTAAAAATTTATATTTTAATTTTATCTAAGTTCTCGAGTAATTTTCATTTATCATGACACAGATTATTCATATTACAAACATAATTATAAACTTAATTTTAAGATATAATAATAATTGTATATATATAATATTTGTAAGATACTAAATAAAATTTTAGAAAAATTTTAAATGATGAATATTTTTAAAAACCTACAAGATAATTTAAAAATTTATAAAAAATAGTCAAAATTATGCTCCATTTATTGAATATGAAAATTTACATTAAAATTTTGAAACTAAAAGAAACAAATTATACAAGTATATTATATATAAATATAATAAATGTTAAAATCAATTGAAAAATTAACGAAACTGAATCAAATGATTATAATGAATATGAAATTATTTCATAGTCTTTAGTTATAAAGATAAATGCATAAATAATAACAAATAAATAAGAGTTATAAAATATAACTCAAAGGATTAAATAAAAAAGTTAAGTAGATAAAAGGGTCAATTTTCGGATAAAACAGAAATGTTTTGGGTCTATCTTCATATGAGTTGGTACCATAACATTACTATTTTATCCGAGTATTGGTCCAAAAATTTCCAAAAATCAAATCAAAATTCAACAGTCTTAAATTCCTTTTTTTGATTACATAATTATAGCAATAGTTTTTCGATCATGGTTGCCAATGTCTCCAACCGGTAATTTCTTCCATCAAGGCATCTCCTGGTGATTTGGTGTTTTTGTTGATTTGTCTGTGTCCAACTAAATAGTAATTTGGTGATAGTTTTCTTCTTCTGATTGATTCTATGATAAATGCTTTTGCTTCTTCCAGTTGTTTTTTGGGAGGTAGGTCATGGGTGAAATCGCCTTAAAAAATAAATAACAAAAAATTAATTAGTAGTCATTTTGCAACATTGTTTTGGAAGAGTAAAGTACTACTTACAACTAGCTTAATTTGAAATTAAGTTAAATGAATTAGAAAATGCACATATGGGTATTATCAATATTTTAAAATAAAAAAGCTAAGATTAGCACTTAATATTTTTACTATCAGGTGTATCAGGTTGTATTTATAAATTATATTTAATTATAAAGTAAATATAGAAATGATATAAAACTATCTACGTCTTAAACAAATCTTTTTACAACGGTAGAAATTGATAAGACGCTTTATTAATACTTTGGTGAACTAATTCCTGCTAATTTATCGCCAAAACTGGAAAGATCTAAATTTAACCGCGTTTATCAAAACCAGAAATCTCAGGAACAAAGTTTGTGTATTTAGTATTGATAAAATAATGGAAAAGGAATTTGTTATATTAAACTTTTGTATTTTGTTATAACTAGGAATAACTAACTCAAACTGCATTTTTCCCAAACAATATCAAAGATTATCAAAGGTTTTGTGAAAATGTTTAGCATTTTATAAATGAATGCCCTTAAAATTAAGTAGAATCGTTGTGATTTGCTTTTACAATCAAATAATTAATATTATTTTTATCACAAAATTTTAATTATGGCAGAAATTATAATAAAATAACTTAATCTAAATTGACTGAAGCTGAGAATACGATTAGATTTTCAAAACTTCGCGAAGAAAAAGTATGTTTTACCAGAAAAAATATCTATAAATTATTATTTATAAACACTAATTACTTCCATACTTATCTATTAAATAATTTATTTACACAAAGCTCAAATTTTATCATAATAGCCGGCTGCTAGTTTTTTTTCAAATGCAAAAACATCTGCTCATAGAAAGATAAGATTCATTCGTCTATTTGTTATTACGGCGCAGTAACTATTTTGATTATGCAATTGAATTACGATTATTAAATAACGTTTGTTTTATAATCACAAACCAGATGTCTGGTAAATGAATTAGATCACTAATTCCTGCGCACGCATATGGTGCGTGAGACTGTTGTCAAAAGTCATGCGCCGATAGTAAAAGGTGCATTTGCCTTCCTTGCAGTTTATAATAGTATTTTTTATAAAATAAATTGTTTAAATTAAAATTGTACTGTAATTATTTCAAACAGAAATAGAATTATTTATCCTATTTTGGTACATTTTTTTATTTTCAGTTGATATGTCCAGAAATGGTTTTATTTAAAATTAATCGAATTAGAAAGTTTAGCACAGAGGGAAGTATAAGCAACACAATAAGGTTAGCAGTCAATGTGTTAGAAAATTATAAATTGCCAATAAATATAAAGTATTTTAAATTTCATACACATACCTATTAAAGCAACACTGAGTGTGGTATGATTTTTTAGAGAGTGTTTTAGGGCATCATGATCATGCCAACCTCTTCCTTCATAAGTATGACCATCTCCGCCAATCAGAAAATTGTATGGAATATCCAAAAGACCCATTACAGATATACTTTTAGCCTGAGATGGAAAACACATTTAGTAGATATACCAAAAACTATATCAAATATTTGGGATATTTACTCGACCACTTAGAAGTACACATCAGTAGTGATAATGTACAAAAAAATGTATAAATAACTTTATGATCTTACGTGCAACTGTCGCAAAATCTGCAAACAATGTTCCTTTTTATAACAAGTTGGTCCTTCAGTATGTGCAATCACAACATAAGTAGCTGGTTGCATCCTTCTCCTTTTCCCAAATTTCCCAGTTTTCCCAGTTCCTGGATCCATCACACCAGTTGAATTTTCTGGTTCCACGAAAACAACTTCTTGAAACAATGGTAAACCATCCTTCGACTTGTTATTTTTTTCAGTACTTCCAGATGCTGAAGACGATTCCCATCCTGATGTCCTGGATAATTGATCTTCATCCTTAGATTTGGTTTCACTTCTGGAAATTCGTACACGTGGTAGAAATTCTAGAAGTTGCCAATTTCTTCTGTCAACTAGTTCGAATGGTGTGTTGGTTACCCATTCGTGATCTGTACTTCAGAAAATAGAAAAAAATAGTTGAATTAGTAATCAAAACACATAATTTGGTATTGGTATTTTACCTTAGGGCAAGTTACGTGAATTTCCCGAAATGTGTAAATAATAATAATTTATAAATTATTAAAAGTATTCCGAGTGGATTTATTACACATAACAGAAAACGAACAAACATGTTAACTCGAAGTATTTTTTGAAAGCAAATTTTCAAAAATCAACAACTTTTATAATTGAACCAGTTTCCGTAGGATTTTAATGGTTTAGTTAGTATGTTCATTAAGACCAAGTGCTCTATCATTATACCAAGTAAATCGTCTAATTTTAATTTTAACAAATGTCAAAGAAACTAATCATTTTCTCAAATTTTGATGAATTTTTAAAATTAAACTACTTGTTGTAAGGCCGTAATATTTCAGTAAGTTCTATAAGACCATGATATATTTTGCCAAAAAAAGTTCCATGAAAATCGGCTTAAATTTTTAAGTTACAATTATGTTAATGACGTTTTATTTGAACTTCTAATAATTTTATTTTATTTATATTTTTTATTATTTTTATGTCAATAACGTTACAATGTATATATTTGATAACAATAAAATCGTATGGTAATTGTATGATTATAAACAAAATTATAAAAATTATTTCTGCCTTTGTAAATAATATGATCATTTCAAGTATCAGCATTGTTTTGACTATTTAAGATAGATAAATGATTAAATGACATGTTAAAATAATAAAATAAGTTGTTAAATTTCACAATAAAATCGATAAGTGTCTATTCATTTCCAAGACAATCGAGATAAATGAAAAATTATATGAAATTCGATTTAAATTCATGATTCAAACGATAACATTCTTGAATTTCCATTAATTTGTATAGAATGACTTGTCAATTGACAAGGTTATCTTTGCTAATTTTATTTATATGTATTTAGATAAATATTCTAAAAGTGTAATAAAAATATGCAGATTTGAGATGGTCTAATTAGATATAATTAAAGATTTTTCCTTGACTTCTTTTTCAAATAATTTAGTTAAAGATTAATTAGTGAGATAAAATGGTAATGGGGACTTTTCGCAGAATTTATTAGAAAATTTTGATTTTGAAAGTAATCAATATTGTTATTGATTCTAGAAAAGATTCTACAAAATATCGCGGCAAAATTAAAAAAAAAATCAAATGAATGAATAGTTATAATATTATACAACCATTGAAATCTTTTTACCAACATTAGTCATTAGTCATTGGTCATTAGTCATGAGTCATCAATTCAATTAATTCTGAAAATGTTGAAAAACATGAAAAAAAGATGCACACACACACACACACACACATATATATATATATATATATGTATTATTAATATTTTAATTTAAACAGATAAATGACACGATATATGATATGATAATATTTTGCAAATGACGTTAAACTAAATAAAATTGTTTGATTTTTAAGATAAAAAGATATAATTAATAAAGATAATCAGAACATCAATCTTTTCCACTACAAAAATGGAAATTTATATCTACAAATTATCTATTTGTATAGTAATCCGTAATATTTTTGCATTTCCACATTTTTGACACGGTAATCGCCTTGTCAGTCATATGTGTCTGACAAGAAAGGAAAAATAAGTTTCAATATAAGGCCATGTCAGTCATATAAGTGTGACATAAAAAATAGTATTTATCCAATTTTGGCTAAAAATATTTTCTTTGATAAGGTTTCTTTCATACTTTTTAACTAAATTATCTAATAGAATTACCATAGCCCATGTGAAAATTCTTCTGATAATATCGTATAAAGCATACAAGGTTGAAAAATCTATAGTATAATGAAAAATATAGAATTTGAAATATATTTGGAAAAATAAAAAATTTGGAGGAAATTCACGTCAGAAGAGCAATAAAACCAGGTTTAAAGTTACCTTCAAAGTTGTAAAAAAATGCTGAAACCTGTTAATTTTTTCAAAAGTATTGTGCAATAAATTCAGTGAGCAATTCTATCTGAAAAAATATTATGCAAGAAAATTCAGAATTCTATATAAAATAAATATTATGCGAAAAAAATTTCAAAATAAATTAATATGCATTTCATTCATTACATATTATATGCCAAAAAGAAACAACTTTACTTCGTGATTAACTTTGGCCATCCAGGATTATTTTTACCATGTGATTTTTTATTCAATGGAAACTTAAAAAATACTAAATACAATTGAACTGGAGAAAAAAATTTAATTAAAAAGATTAAAAGTATTGAAAATAGAAAAAAATTAAAAGTGTTGAAATAGAAAATTCAATAATCCATGGTATCTGGATATGGTAATATACCACACAAATGTGAATTTACGCGTTCTAATGTGAATACTACACTTAACTAATTGTAAGTATTTTTTACACTTAATTTTTTTTTCTCCGATTCAATTGTTTTCAGTTTTTAATTTATATATATATATATATATATATATATATATATAAATATTATAATTTTTTAACTCACCATACTGGTTCAGAAGATAACATCCCACAGTCATGCCTCCCAAAAAAATCAATCCAATGGCTCCGATGGAGAAAAATCTTCCTTTACATTTGCAGCTGGTTTTAGTGTACAAATATTGACCTTCTATATCTTCTGAATTTTTAAAAATTGGTTTTTGTTGGTTGCCTTCTAATGGTGATTGTGTTGTACTGTCGTAGTTGTTTGATGGAATTTTGTTCTCCAGAAGTGGAGAACATTCTGACAACTCTGGTGATTTTTTTACCGGTTGGTCGACTTAAAAAAAAAACAAAACAGATAAACTAGGTGTAAGTGGCATTTTATAATAAATATTTTGATTGGCGATAAATATAAGTATACCAAGCAAGTGACATTTCGCCTTAAGTGAGAATTGACTTAATCAATCGAAATTGAAATTTAGATATTTAGATAAAATTTTCAACTGCTTATTTTAAAAATGAAGTTATTGCTTTTAATTAAATTTAAACATTGCAATTTCGAATAGAATTTTCTCAAAGACATTTAAATTAACTGTAATTACATTAATTATTTTGTACAGACACTATTAATGCATGTATGGCCTAAAATTTTAGCTTATTATTTTAAATTTTAATGAATTGATAATGTTTGAGTCATCACATCACAAAAGCAACTATTGGCACAAATTTTGACTATAATATTTTCACAATCTTTGATGAATTTTTAAATTTATTTATTGTATATAGAACAGTTTATACAGGACTTTATCAAATTCTATCTACTTTCTGCTAAGCTAAAAATATTAGAATGCTCGGAACGAAATTTTTGAGTAATTTGAAGAAATGCAGAAAAATGTCCCGCCCCCAATGGCGATGATTGATACAATATATAAATGCAAGTTGCAACTAACAATAAGTTTATTTAAAATTTTTATAGCAGAATATATAATTTGGTTTATGTAAAATTTTAGTAAATTTTATCTTGTTTCTTCTAAATTTTATCTTAAAATTATCACTCACCGTTTGGCGCCATGCCGAAAAACTATGCATGTACCTCCTCCAGATTTAAAAGAAATTTTTCAAATTTCTTCCAACGTATCTTTTCCTTGCTATCCGATCATCGATTTCCAATTTCCCTTCTTTTAGTCACAAAACTTAATAAATTTTCACATCCAAAACTGATTTCTCAACTCAAATTCGACTTTTCCCTTCTTACTCACTGATGAAGCAAGCATCTAATATTTCCCCAAAGTATCTTCTAGCCATCCCGGAAGAATTCTTGAATGTTTTTGGACACTTTTAAGTAGAAAAGTGTCTTAAAAAGAGATTTTAGCTCTTGGAACGTTTGTATTCCGTCGTGGAAACGAACAGACTGACAATTCAGACTCTGATTTCTGTTATCGAAACTAGAAACCGGTATTTGGTGTTCTAAAAATGATTAAATTTTTATCATGTGTTATCTGGGGAAGATAAGATGATAAATAGAACGCTCGTGGTTCTATTTCATGCATATTCCAGATAGGCAAGAATTTTTTGTAAATGAATTATATAACTAAGATAATGTTTGATGATGAAAAGATAAATATTATTACAAATTAATCTTAACAAGAACTAGGTGCAAGAAGCACTTTTCCTTAAGGTAAGATATGGACATCCTCAAGGCCTTCAGTTTAAAAACAATTTAGATAAAAATTGCAACTGTATTTAAAAACCAGCCGTATTTGAAAAAACGTCGATTTACGGCAAAAAATCTGTTCGCTTTTTCCTTTTTGGTCTCATTCGATTCAGAATAGCTTGAAACGTCGAGAAAACATAAAATTAGCGATTCGGATTTTTTTTTATGAAAACATAAACTTCTCTTTCGGGAAGTTAATAAAGATTACGCTTTCACTATAATGTTTTTTAGCAATTTTACAATATAGGGTAGGGCGAGGCACAAAGGTCCCATTTTACTTTGAACAATTATATTGTGAAAACTTATAAACTTCTATATACTTATAAACTTCCAGCTAATTCATCATTGTAGAAATGTATTTTTTGCTGTTTTTCAAAAAATTGTCACCAGATCTTTTTTTACCAAGGGCAAAGGGCAAATGCCTTAGGGCTAAATGCCACTTTTATCTAGTTTAGATAATTATTAATTGATTTCTGTTTGATTTCCCAAATTTGGTCTCATTCGATTCAGAATAACTTGAAACGCCGAGAATTAGCAAATCGTATTTTTTCCCGTCGTATTTATAGTCTGTTGTTTTATTTTAAATTTTAAAGGAATTTTACGAAATAATAGATACATTTTTAAACCATGCAAAATATAAATTTTATAGCTAAATTTCTTACAGAGACTGTATATATACCTGTATATAACCTGGATCTGGTATTTGGTCAGAATATTCAGCAGCAGTGCTGGAATAACCATTTATTTATCTTTTGTAAATTTGTTAACTTAATTCAATTTTTTATTCTCTTTTTCTTATTGTTTCCACCTTTTTACACCACCCCAATTTATAAAAGTTATATAAAAAAAGTGTTAAATTTAAGTTAAAATGATAAATAACAATTATTTTGAGGTATCATAAACTAAATACAAGAGCTCAAAATAAAGAAAAACTACCAACGACCAAAAAGTACTTTTGGTATGAATATTGATACGTTTTTGGTTATCTCTTAATAAAGACGTTGTGAAAATTAAGGTGATGGCTGGTTACACATTTTATGCCTTCTACTTTAAAATAGCAACATTAAACATTTCTATACTTTGTTTGTTTTTTTAAATAATGATTGTAGACCTTTTTTCCCACAAATATTTGAGCCCTCTTTTTTTTTAAAAAATGTCATTAATTTTTATAAAACGTTCTTGGATCATTTTCCCAAAACTGAAAACAATAACCATAATACACACATCTTGTAAATTAATATGCATCCAAATAATTTGTATTTGTCTATAAAATGATATTTAAAATTTGCCACATATTTATTTAAAAAAATGTTTTGATGGGCGTCCATTAATCACGTGATCGAATTTTTAAGGATTTTTGGAACTACCCCCCTTCCCGTTGGTGATACTTGGTGATATTCTAAATTACCCCTCCTCCCCCAACATATTTTTTTTCTGGAAATGTTTGGATTTTTTTAGAAAAAACTCAGGTAAAAAATAAATATACGTGATATCTTACTATACCCCTTCCTCCCCCACGTGATATTTTGTGATTTTTTGTCAACCCTCTACCTACGCCTAAAAATCTTACGTGATTAATGGATTAACGCCCCTTTATAATAATTTAAATAATTAAAAAAATACAAAGTAAAAGCAAATTTAAATAATTTTGGAATTCACATAATCTGTGTCAGACTAAAGGTGTACAGGAATATATGAAAAAAGGTAACAGTATGAGTAATTTAATAAATTGTTAGGTATACGTCAATATATTAAGTGATATATAAATTATTAACACTTTAATCGCCATGTCAGTCATATGTGTCTGACGTTGAAAATTTCTGCATAAGCCATGCCAGACAAATTTCTGGCAAGGCTAATGCAGATTTGGTAGAAGCAATAAAAAAGTTGATTTAGAACCATGTCAGTCATAAATTTTGTCAAAAAAAATCGATACTAAATTATCTAATAAAGTTACCATGAAAAAAATTATGATATCATCGTGGCGATTAACGTATTTATATAAAAATAATTCCACTTACATTTTTTTAATGCCTCCAGAACATTGCGAGCAGCCCAAGTAAACTTCTTTGCAAACAAATTTTACTTTATTTAATACAAAGTCCAGATCATTAAAAAAACTTATATTTACGATATTTTGGAAAATCGTTCGTAACAATTTGCATCTTGATCTATTAGAAACAAAACAAGAAATGATATTTATTGTGCAACGTTGCTTCTATATCTGCAAACTAAATTTTGATTAAACAATATCGCTTTTATATATAAATGAGAAAATAAAATACATATATAGATAAAAGTATAATGTTGCAAGTATTTACTTTAACAATAATTATCAGCATTATTTGTACAAATGTGCGTAAGTCAGGATAGATTAACAAAGTGCAAAGATATGCATTATATATACATACATACATACATATATACATATACATATATATATATATATATATATATATATATATATATATATATAAATCAGTATACCTCAAAATTTCTGGGTCCAGTTGCATCTTCCTAAAAAACAATATTATAAAAATTATTAGTTGTAACAATTTCTATTCTATATGTATAAATACTAACCGTAGATAATATTGTTCTGAGTTCCTAAAAAATATGAAAGCTAAATTCTAAAACTTGCAATATTATTACCAAAATGCACATGTAGTAATTATAAAATTATATGAATTGCCTAATAAGATTTGCTAAAATGCTAAAATACAATATTACTATTATAGAAAAAAGCTAAAATAAAACAACTCTTTTTATATTTCTCTGATCGATTGTTTTAATAGAAGTTCGAAATTTTCAAAAAATCTAAATATAAAAAAAATTCTATATTTTAAAAGAAGTCAAAGTTTAATAATGTCATTTTTTTTCAAAAATTAATTTAGAAATCTGGTTTTTTCAAAGTTGTCAAAGAATTTTGAAGCTTTTTTATAAATTTTAATTTTTGATACAGAAAGTTCCAGCAAATGGACTTAAGGCACGATAAGACCTTAAGTCCAAGTGCATTATATGCACCACTATTTTTAATCTTCTATCATAATTTATTCAGACTATATAAATTTATAATCCACCCAAATATTTACTTATTAAGTTTATCATTATTAAAAATTTCTTGATTAAAATCGTTAATAATAATTGACTCGTTTGTATTATTTTTTTACTTTTAAGTATCCTTCAAAACTTTGTAAACTATTCGATTATTATATAAATATATTCATTATTATATACTAAAAGAATTTATTATAATTTGTTAAAATACGACTGCAACTGTTATACTCGTAAATTATAAAAAAAAATTTAATAGATAAAAAATATTAGAAAAATATCTATTAATACACTGATTTAATATGCCATGTTTCTCACTATGTGAATGTGTTTAATTTAAATTTGAATGTATATTTTGTAAGTTCTATAAAATTGTTGAGTGATTGTTTAGAAATTCTCAAACAAATTATGTTCTTCATTCCCACGATAATAAATTTTATGCATACAATGGAATTCTACGAAAAATCATTCGATCTTGTGATAAATTTCGTCTGTATTTATTTATTCGTATTATACTAGATCATTGGCCTTTAAATTTATCAATTATTTGTATTGGTCGAGCCTCTGTTATAAATTCCAAATATCAATGGTCAAAAATCACTTTTTTGCAAAATATATATATATATATATATATATATATATAAAGTTATACTTAGTATTACTCTATCTATATATCTATATATTTTTTTTCAAAATGAAAAAAAAAGAATGAACAAACGAAATGACCCCAACAACACACTACTTTGCTTACTGAGTTCAAAATTTTATTAATAGTTAGTTCATGAAATTTTTGAAGAAACATTCAATAATTAAAAATTTAATTATATATGTTGTAACTTTATGTTTGAAGTTGAATTTATATATTGTAAATCTAAACATAAATCCACAAATTGATCTTTTATAAATTTACAAAAACATTAAAATACCGTAAAATAATATATACCGTATTGTTAAAAACTTAAACTTTATTTTATTATAAAATAAAAATTGTATAGAGTGAGATTTAACAATTCATTAAATATATTTCATTTATTTTAAAATTACATTTAAAATTTATCACAACAAATTTACATACAGTTCAATATTAGATTTAATCAATACATCCTTTTAAAACATTTTTGAGCAAAATACGCATGCTACTTTTTAACAAAAGAAATATGCCGAATAATAACTCATAGTTTATATAAAAAATCTGGGAACTTATTGTTTGATATATAAATTTTTTTTAAATTTAATGTACAATTTTTTAAAATAGAAATGAGAGCAGAAAAAATTGTCAATTTTTATAAATCAGAAAAAATATGAAAAATATGTAAACTGAAATAATAATAAATATTATAATCATTCGGCAATTAATATTAATTATAAAAATATTATTATATTTCTAGAAGCAAACAATATTTTTTACTTTGAAGATGCTTTTTTGAAGCATGTGTATTTCATTCAATTTACAATTATTATAAAGGAAAAAAACTGTCGAATATGGAGTCACGTTTTACTTTAAAATTTCAATAAAGTATTTTAATAAATAACATGTTTAATGAATTTAATATTTTTCCATTTATTATACAACAGAGAGAATGCTTTATATTCAAAGATTTATGTTTTAAAATAATTTTTCATAAAGGTTTTCATAAACGATTTTTATATTTTAAATACATTAATTTTTGTAATTTTTTATAATAATTAATAAAACAAATTTATTCAGTAACAACAACATTCAGTATTAAAAAATTATTAAACAAGATAATGCTAATATTAATCAAATGTGATTGCAAAATTTATTTTCCACAAAATATTTTTTTAAATAAAACAGTGTCCCATATTTCAATGTTTTCATCCTAAAATCTAATGAATATCATAATAATTTACAACAAAATATATCATTTCTTATTTTTGCATCGATGCATTGAATAAATACCAACCTGAATTTTTCAAAGTTCAAAGTTTTTATTTTTATCGACATTTAGATACTTTATAAATATATATTGAAAAATATAATAAAATTGTATATACATATATCTTGCATTGAATAAGGCTAGAATAAATGTTTACGATGAAGAAATTATGTTATTTACTATTTTTATATATTAATTTTTTATTATTAATTTATTTGACGTTAAAGTACAGAGACTAATATTTAATTATTTAATTATTCACTTTGGTTTCATTAAACTTTGCCAATTATTAATAATACAACATGAAAAAATAATGCTCTATAAATCTACTATACAATTATATAATAAATATTTCAATCAGACAAAATACAAAACTAGATTCTCTTCACATCATATTTTTCCACTTACTAATTAATATTAATATAATTTATTAATAGTAATAAATCTAATTATAAATACTTTTATTAGGACGCTTTTGTTAAGAATATAGGACTTGGTCGATTAGTTTTGGTCGTTTGGTAACCAAAATTTTTGATATTGGTAATATATAGATAAATATTTATTTTGATCAGAACAGATACAGGACATTTCTAGTCCTAGTTTTTTAGTTGTCCTCCCTTTTTACCAGTCTACAAGTAGCAAAATTTTGCAACAAAATCAAGTTGGTCAATAACTTTCTGATCTTTCACAATCTTAATTTGATTTAAGAAAATTACTGATGGCCATATAGATAAATGTATTTTAGAAGACAAAGATTGGTCCAATAAGGCCAAAAAATAAAGATTACTATTTGTTTTCTAAATTTTTCCGAAATTATTTTTACAAAAAAATCTCAGAGGAAGAGTTGAAGAAAAATATATTTGCCCAAAAGATAAAGAAAAACAAATTGAAAGGTTGAACGTTTTCATCGTTCACTTCAAGAGAAAAATATTATCTCTTTTCAGTAATCGGTTAATTTGAGACAATTTTTAAGCCAATAGTTAGGCTATACCTAAGGGCAAAAAATGATGGTTAATCCAACTTTTTGGCTGGTCTAACCAATCAAAAATTAAAAAATTCCAATATCTTTCATGTTACTTCAAAAACTTTACAAAAAAATCACGTGGTAGGAAAACATCAGCAATTGGTTAAATTCAAGGGCCAAATCTCAGATAAAATAAATTTATTATGATAATGCTATTTTTCTGGTCTATATCAGTATGAGTTGGTATTCACAAACTGTCAAAAAACTATTTATTCGCTGTGGGATCAGATGTTCTACACATAAAACCTAACCTTCAAAACGTAAGCGCACCTAATAACAATTTTATCAGAAGTGCAACTTGTGGATAACACATATGTGAAGTTAGAATTTATATGCAAAAGGCCTTATCGAACAGCAAATACATAGCTTTTTGACAGTCTGTTACTACCAACTCATACGAATATATGCCCGGAACATAGCATTACTATAACATTTATATTTTCTGGAACAAAACAATTTCCAAAAATATAGCTTTAGTGTTTAAACTGTTTTGATTGCAAATATAAAAATAATTTAAATAATTATACACAATAAATATTACTAATTTATCAAAAAAATAGTACTCTGATAAAAAATAATGTTCTGAAGACACTTTTATGTATCTTTGCATTCAAATCTAATTTGTTTCGATTTTAAAATGCATTTCATATTTTTTTATATCTTAGCAAAAATATAAAATTAATAACAAAAGATAAATTTTATAATACACCATTTTGTATAGTTCCTTCAGGTTCATCTTGCTACTTGTTTTTATCTATTAAAATCAATAAGATTTAAAAAAATATATAATCCAAAATAATTTTCTTACATAAAATTCCCAAACTCACCATATTTGCATTATCCTCTATCATTTCTCATCCGAATTTTTAAATTTTTCAGCCTTTTGTGCCTTAGCATCCTCAGTGAGTTCCTGCCACCGATTTAGATTCTTTTGACATTGTGTCAACAATGGTTTAGTTTCCGGAATCAATCTGGCCAAAATGCTGTAACAAGGTATGCAGATTCCTGTCAGGAAACCTACCTGAGACCCAGGTTGTTCTTCAGGTAGCTCCCGATCCATCATAGACATCGGCTGGCGACCTGCTGCCCTTTCGGCATCACCTGGAAATGGACATATTGATACCAAATTAAAATAGATTAATACCAGTTATAAAAATATATATATATTTATTAAAAAAACACGGAAAAATAAATTCTTGTAATTAATGATATCAATAATTATTCAGTGTTAAGACTTTGAAACAAATCAAATATAAATATGTATCATCGTTTCCAAGTAGACTGATGGACATCTGAATTTGGACTTTTGATCTTTTAACATATTCTAGATTCAGATACACTTTGCAATGGTTCATCAATCGCTTTGTTATTTACTAATTATTAGTTCATTAGACTTGTACAATAAAAATCGTATTATAATTGTGATAATTTCAAGGGTTTTGCAAAAATCATTAAATCGTAACATACAAGTCAGAAGTAAATTTTGAATGAATTTCTTGAATTCGAGAAGCTCAAGGCATAATATTTTGATCTTATCATTAACAATATTTATTGACAAAATCTCTTCATTCAAGTTCTGCCTTATTATTTTATAAATTAGTTATTTAATTATAAAAAATTCAATAATTTTTCAGTATATCAAAACATTGCCACTACTGTAGAAATATTTGTAATAAAATTTTATTAATAAAACTTTTATCAATTGCATAATTATTAATCTATTTTTTAAAATACCTCCTTAAATTCAATGTGATTTAGAGCCATGATAATATCTATGACTAACCTAATAAAAAATATAAAAAAAATATAATTTATATATATATATATATATATATATATATATATATATATAAATATATATATTATGATATATAATAATAAATATATATATATATATATATAATTATATATATATATATATATATATATATATTATAAATATCAAATACTGAAACTTGAGGATACATATCCTGATTTTATATGCTATTTTTATGCAACTCCAATTAATCGTTTTACATTATTAGAGGGGACTATCATTAGATTTTTTTTTAGAAATAATGCTCTGAAAACCTATTTTCAACCGAAATTATATTTTAGATGAATAATTTCAAGTAAAAACTATTATTTCACTATTGCTTGATATCTAGCTAGTCAAAGCTGGCCAAAAAAGAATAAGTCTTAATATTGTGATAGGATATAATGTAGAATGCTCTGGAAAACTTTTCTCAATTGAATTTATATTTTAGATAAGTAAATACGCATATATAAGAACTACTAGATATCAAGATGGCAGAAGTTGATTAGATAATAAGTGTTAAGATCGTGATATGATATATTTCTGAACGCTCTGGAGGCTATTTATAATAAAATTATATTCTAGATGTATAATTTCAAGTGAAAATTGATACATCAGTACTGCTCGAAATAAAGCTGACTAAAGTTGATTGAAAATTAGGTGTTAAAATCGTGATATGATATAAAAAAATGCTCTGAAAGTTTATTTTTAACTAGATGACCCGACAGATGTTGTCCTGTACTCACGTATACAATTTTTTAATATAATATACTAATATTTACCGTTTATCTAAAAATAATAATTATTCTTTTTTAAATTACTATTCGCGCCAAAAATAATATACATTTATAATATGGGCAATTGTATGTATTCATCTTTACTTTCCCATTTATTGTTAGAAATTTTTAGGAATTTTAAAAATATTGTGGAAAGATTAGTAAAAGATGCAAAGAAATTATATATTGAAAAAAAAAAACGATATTGAAAATTTAATATCCGAATCTTATTTTGGCGTCCCCTAAGGCGTGCGCTTGTATTTTTCGCATGCATCGCATTCAAGGTAGAAAGGGCCATACATATACTGTATTTAATATTATTTTAATTTCTGGCACATCTCAGCTTTTTTGGCAATAATAATGTAGGCATTTCATTTTTCTTATTCATATTCAGAAATAATTTATTTCTACAATATTAAATATACATCCCATTACTTTATAATCACATACATCCTAGAAAATATCCTTTACAAACTTCAGAAAGATTTATCAAAATCCGAATAATAGTTTAGGAAAAGAATACAGTGAGTGCTTTTAATTTAATATGAGCTTCAAAGAATAGTAATAAAGCTCAAATTGATTCTACGTTTTAGTTCAAGAACGTTTGTATGTGAAAAAGAAAAGAGCTGATTTTAGGGTTTTCCCGGCAATTATTCGATTTTTTCGCCGTAAGAACCATCCTTGGACTTCAACGAACATTTTAAAAAAAGAATTGGCCAAATTGGTCCAGGCTTTGTTGAGTTATGCACTTACCAACACATTTTGTGATTTATTTTTATATATAAGAATGATATTATATTTTAGATGAATTATTTCAAGTAAAAACTAATATCACTACTGCTTGATATCGAGCTGGCCGAATTCGATTATATAATAAGTGTCAAGATCGTAATATGATATATGCAGCAATCGCCTAAAAGGTTATTTTCACTTAAAATTATATTTAAGATGTATACTTTCAATTGATTGAAATTAAATTGACTGCTTGATATTAAGCTGACCGAAGTTGATCCCAGTAGCTAATATCAGGTAGTCACGTTAAGCTCCTATCAAACACATAACACCTGATCACATACTTTAATTATTTATTTATCTATATATATTTAATTATATATTTATGATTATTTTTAAAAATATTCTAAACCGTAAATTTTCATTGGTCCTTACCTTGTTGATAAAATTCTTCAAATATAACTTTAACAGTTTCCGCCTGGATGTCCCAAGGTTTGGCACTGGCGGACAAATCGCTCCCAGTCATACATAAAGCATGAACCAACATTCTATGTTCTGGCATATTCCAGGAAAAGTTGTCTTCTGCCAAAAGCATGCTTAATCTTTCCCGATTTGGGAAAAATAGAGCAAGATCCGTCGCCAAAATGCAATGTTTTAGATGACTCAGAACGTATTTGTATTCGCCACTGGTCAGTTTGGCAAAAATGTTGTGGCCTTCCTGGAAGGGAAAATTGATAAGGATAAAGGACTATTTTTGGCAAAACAATTGAGTTGTTAGTACCTGTTGTAATATCGTGACAGTCTGATTGAAATGATGATGTTCCATGGTTGATGTACTGTAAATAGCGGCTAAAGGTGATTCCATTTCCATCATGAATTTGTTGTTTTTGCCTCTGTGATCCAAATCGTGGCAGAGTGCACCAATGTACATAGCCAGACACTAAAAAATGAAGATATACTTATTTTGTGATAAGACAAAATTGTCAATGAATTTAAATAACGCACCAATAATTTGCAAGATTTGCCAAGAGAATTTGAAAAAGTCGAAGTTAAAGAATATCAAAAATTTTTGGAAATTTCTGTCTAAAACTACATTTCTTGTGTAGACATTTTCAATTTTTCCTATAGATCATCATATCTTACCTCATTTGGCCTAAAGACATTCCGCGAATGTTTAATTATGCAATACATCGTATTGGCAACAGAAAATCCGTGCGTCCAATTATGGTACGGAACCCTCCTATAATTTTTCTTTACGGTCAGAGTGAATCTTATAAGACTGTTCAGCTCAAATCGATTCAAACCAAAAATATCAATAAACATTGACATTGCATTTATAGCCTTCTGATAATCATCCACTTTGAAGGGGTCGAAGTAGTAGTCGTCTAAATCGGGGACGTATTCTGGAATTCCTGGGAAATAAAATAAATTATCATACTAATCATCTTTTGATATATATCTTAAATTTCATCTGAACTGGTTAAATAAAACGTGTTAGTAGTAACTGCATTTTACCCCTGCCTATTGCTTTATTAAATTCGTCTTCTGTGCACGTGTTGTGGTAACTTAGAACCTCCAAAGCAACTCTATATTTTTGTTCTGATCTTTTGATTTTGTCGTATAATTTTGCATGATGAAGGGCCAGCCCACAATATACAGCAAACATTTCAAAAGCTTCCTCATCTTCGGAGTTGAAAGTTCCAGTATGCTTATTCACCATTTGGACTACTCCAATTATTGATCCTCGGATAAAAATAGGCATACATAGAATAGATTCTGTCCTGGGGGAAAAAGATACAGAGTAATGGATAATTATACTAGCTAGTAATATGGTAATTACTTGTATCCAGTAATTTGATCAACTTCTCGATTAAACCGAGGATCAGCATAGGCATCAGGTATGTTCAAAATTTCTCCTGTCAGAGCAACTTGACCAGCGATTCCAGTTCCCAGAGGAAACCTAAAGTCATAAATTTAGTTATTCAGATATTTCTTTGGTTTTACAATTAGTATTTTTACCTGATTTCGTTTTCAGATTTCTTCTGCATTTGTGATGGGTAAGTACTTGTCCGGCTGGGTTGCGTTGTTAAGGATCCTTTTGCATCAATAGGCGAGTCAGATTCTTGAGAAGCAAAAAGATTTCTGAAAAAACATATAATTTAGACAAAAAAATTCTTTGGAAGATGTATGAGTACTATGTAGGGTTTGTCGATTTTCAAAAACCGGTTATTTGGCGAAAATTATGAAATTCGAAAACCGGTTTCTTAGGAAAAAAAGTCGGTTTACACTATATAAATGGAAAATGACAAATATAGTCAAATATAAAAGATAGATGAAAGCATTTTGATTCTTGAATTCATATCCTTTCTATAGCATTTGATATCTTATCAGTCTATGGTTCCCAGAAATTGTATATTTTAATTTATATTTTTATACCAGTGTATATATTAATTTAAATCAATGTGACTTCTTCTTGAAGAAGTAACTTCCTTTACTCAAACTTAAAAAAAAAGTTTTAAACCCTGGAAGCTACAAATTTAAGAACAAAAAACTTGGAATTATTAAATCAGACTTTAAAAACAATTAAGCATAATTTGGTCAAGTTTTAGAATGCTTAAAATTAAAATAAATTAATTAAAATTATTCGGAACAGACAATACCTGAGATTAGCTTAATTTTTTTTTTAATTTTAGTTTTATGATATTAAAAAGTATGAATCAAAATGTATCTAATATTGTTTTTTAATTTGATGATTTTTTTTATTTAGATATGTATTATTTTTATTTATTCGAAAACTTTCCTTTCACTACCATAAAAATATTTTCATTCTTATATGTGAAAATTATACATGAATACGAATAATTATTTTCAAATATATTTAATCAAGATTAACTATTATTTTTTAGTTCTACTAATTAAAATTAAATAATTTTGTTTACTATCTATAAAATTGAACAATAAATAAATTCAGTCAAATACTGCTCTAAATCAAACTAAATTTGCGGATAAATTACAGAATATTCGAGCAAAAATTTATTTTCTATATAAAATTCGAAAACCGGTTAAAACCGGTTTTTTAGTAAAATTAAAATTCGAAAACCGGTTTTCTGAAATGTCGGTTTTTGTATAAACCCTAGTGCTATGCTTACCCAAAAGAAGCTGATATGATCGGATTCGATGAACCATCATGTGTATCATCGTGCACATATTTATTTTCATCTTCCACTCCTACATCAAAAATTTTGGCATAAAGTTCATGACTTTTGTTATCTACCAAAAACAAGGAAGCCCTATCAGCATCTACTAGTCTTTGCGCAAAATTCATAACTTTTTTCACCAGCATGTCTATACTGACCATGTCCTGGAAAATTGACCTAGGGAAGAATAAAATTATAACAATCAGCAAATGCAATATTTTTTGAACGCTAATAAATTTTTATTACTTGACGACGGCCAACAAGAAATCGTTCAATTTCCTTTGTTTTTGTAATCCTAGGTACAATTGGGCATAATGCAAAGCAATTCCTCCCCAAACCAAGTAACTGCAGGATATTTCTTCGTCTTCTTCGTGAAAGGCTCCTCCAGTTTGTTCTCCGCGTCGCCACAGTTCGAGAACCGCTGCTAGATGACCATCGGATTGGATCATTGGTTGGCAGAGGATGTGTGATATGTCTTCTAACTGGTTAAAAATAAATAAAAGTAACGATTGGTAAAATAGAAATTATTCCTGACCAAGATTTAAATTCATTTATCGAATTTTTGGAAAAGCTTAAATTTATCTGCTTCATTCACTGAAACATTTTCAGAACAATTGTAGAAGTTGGTGATGGAAAGGCTACCATCAACAAAATTAGATGCGTCTAATTATCACTTTTTGAGAAACTTCAGCAAAAAATGTAGAAATTGAATATTAGTTATATATATTATTTACCATGTCGGTTGATTTTTCAAACAAATCCATTCATTGATTATCTGTCTTCACGCTCAGTGCATTTGTCAAAAGCCAATCGCTTTTCATATTTTTAAACGAATATTATATGGTAGTAAAATTATAAAAAGTAAAAAAAACTACCAGTATATATAAGCTGACATAAAATCAATAACTTATAGAAAAATATTATGAAAAAACATTGCTGATGGAAATCTCATGTTCTGCGGAAAATCGTTCAAATATTAAATGAGTTCATCGATAAATAATTATAAAAAGTTTTCATAAAAGTTTTCTAGGAAAATAAAAATATTCTAAAAGTATTGTTTGAAACTTTTTAATTATATAAAATCAAACCAAAAGTTCTAAGAAATTTATTCAAATGAGTAAAATTTATTCAATTACCTCGTCTGTAGGGTTGTCCAAAAATCTTGGATCATTATTGTTTCTGGTCCATCGTACAGCTTCCCTAGATTTGGCTACAAATCGTACAATAGAACCACCAGTTTTAGTTTTTCCATTTGATCTTTTTAATTTGTCATTTACGACTGCTAAAAACAAAAAAAAATCGATTAATATATGATGAATTAATATAAAATATAATTTATTGATATACTAATTAGGCAAGCAAAAATTTAGAGCTCACTGAATTTGAATTTAAAATCAATTCATATATACTTGTGCAACGATGTTTGTGGACAATAAAATTTGTTCTTAAGTATAGGGTCCGCCAAATAACTTTTTTTTTTAATTCTATAAAAAAACTACTGATTTTTTTAAATTTGAAATAATAGTTTTGGTTTGTAAGGGAAATGCAAATGGCAGCCTAACTTTTAAATGGTTGCCAAAAAATCAAAATGGATGCCAAAATGGATGCCAAAAAATCAAAATGGCTGCAAAAGTTAGATGGCGGACCCTTTATTATTACCTTCTGGTCCCGGATGAAGTAATAGATGATTTTCCGGTTGTTTTTGATTTTGCATCAAATCCGGATTAATTACATATAAATTAAAACCATCAGCACCTACTGCTGATGATATACAATTGGCTAATTCCCAAAGTACTTGGGACTTTGCAGGACGAAAATGCAAGGACTGCGTCAAATCCTAGAAAAATAGATTACTAAATCATCCTAGCACATGTATGAACTCAAACGAGAAAAAAATAGATCATAAAATCAAATCTTTATTAGTGCAGTTACAATATTAATTTTACCATTTACCGTTCTACCATTATTTGTATTTGGCACACCATGGAGTGGTTTTTTAATGTTCGGCAAATTTTGTTTAAATAACTGATTTTTTTACCTGTAACATTTGTCGTTTATCTGCATGTACACAAAATTTCCATCGTGATAGACTAGTTTTTCGGCCCTTGGCAGCCGCATTATTTCCACTATTTCCATAAGCACATGGATCGTTGCAACCATCCACGCACTTACCAGATGGTGTATTACCTGATTGCTAAAAAATGAATAAAATAGTTTGGTAAATATTGAAACTAAACCAAGAATTTAAATGTAATTCAAAATTTTGTTGTAAATAAATTTTCAACCTGTTGCAACATGGCTTTCCTCGTTCGTTGCGTTTTCCTGATCATCCATCGTTCTAATTGTTCTAATTCTACTTCCTCCATCAGATACCTCTCCAGGAAATCTGGACGAGATCTCAAAAATGCTGTCACCTGGTTGCATGATTCGTCTACTCAAGAAGAAAAATTTAAATTATCAATAAATTAACAAAATTATACTCTACCATAGCTTATAAATAAAATCAATATATGATAAGGTTGTGAAGGCAAAAATATAGGACAAAAATATATATAGGAGAGCCGTCTTGCAGTTTATGCTGCATTTTAAATTCTAGGATAATCTAAGCTTTTATCTATTACGATTTTATTCATTTATTTATAAAGATAATTATATAAGCAGTAGTCCATAAATGTCACATCCCAAAAATATATTTATATCAAAGATGTAATGCATATCTTATGTCGTTATTCAACAAGAGATGAAGATCATATAACATTACGCCAGAATTTAACAAGATGATATCAGATATGTATCGAAAATATACAGAAATATTTTTTTGACGAAAATAGATGGAAACGAAAAATGTCAAATCGTTTGAAAGGTGATACACACGTTGTTAATGTATAATATTATTTATAAGATTTTGAGGGGATGTAACAACTAAATTACTTTTCAAAATAGGAATGGTAATTGCATTAGTAGAGGAATGGATGTATGAGTTGATTAAAATTGTTACTTGAGTTCAAGTAATTTTGGTTTCAACTTTAATAATAAATTAATAATGTTCAACTTTAATAATAATTAATAATGTACCTTAGCATGTGCAACTGATTTCAATTTAGAAAATAAATACATATGGTACTTTGTGTACTTATTTGCAATGCTACGTGGTACGTTGGCCATGCAGCTCTTGTTAGTAATCAGCAAAATTATTGTTTTTGTTTGTATTTTCTATGCGAAAAACAATTAAAGTGTGTATATATATATATATATATATATATATACAGTGGTGTTGTCGAGCCGGAACGCGCCGGAACGTCGTTCCGGCAAATCATTTTTGGGGCGGAACGCGTTCCGGCAAAAAAATATATAAAAAAATCGCTACATACAGAAAATAATTTAATAAGTATATTTTATAAATTATTATTCAACTAATTTTTATTAAATGTTCTTATTATTGTAATAAACGTCGTTCCAGCAAATCATTTTCGGGCGGAACGCGTTCCGGCAAGAAAAAATATAAAAAAATCGCTACATACAGAAAATGATTTAATAAGTAAATTTTATACGTTATTATTCAACTAATTTTTATTAAATGTTATTATTGTAATAAACATACATACATGTGCACAAAATGAGTTTTGTAATAATTTTTGTTTTTTTCCTTTTCGAACGGAACCGGAAAAAACATGAAAACTTGTTTTAGAACCGGTTTTTAAATTTTAGCGTTCCAGCAAAAAATATTAGCACAACACCACTGGTTTTATCAAAGTCGTTTTTAATTTAGTAACAAATTGAGGTGTATGAACTGAAATATTAATTACAATCCAGTAGTGTATTTCAAATTTCACATATGTTACTTTAAGACCGAAAAGTGTCTGACACCCTAATATTGCGGATATATAAGTTGGACTTGTTTCGGACATAGCGGGCGTTAGTCGAATAAAATATATAATTTAAGACATTCATATAATGGAAATTGATTGTAGCGAAAAAAGCAATTCTATAAATACAAAAGCATAAGAACTCTTTTGCTTTTAATTAAATTAAAAAAAAAAATTTTTAATAATTCGATGAATTTTTTGCCATCTAAGGTAAAAATATAAGCCGTTCGATCGCTTGTAAATTTTTACAATCCAAGATCTATTGGTAATTTTTTTTAATCATTGTTTTATTGACATTTATTTAGTAGTAAATTAGTTGACAATTTATAGCAAAAGAGTTACCCTGATATTTCAATAGACTTATCGTCTCAATTTCGGCCTACAATTTGAGATTTGTATCCATATTCATAAAAACTTTGATCTTTTGAAAATCTGATGAAGGTTCTGTGGAATTGATGATCACTCGATTATTGTGATAGATTAAAAAATTGTACTCCTAGACTAGTAATTCCCAACGTGGGGCGCACGCCCCAAAGAAAAATCCATTTTTAAATTCAGAGGGGAGAGGCAAATTAAAAAATTACACGACTTTAACCCACTTGCTTTGGGTGATTTGAATATAATTTGTAAATACTGTTAAAAATTTGTTAAACATATTATGATCAATTTTTCCATATATATTTCCATAGCTTAGGTAAATACGGATCCCTTTTTAGGTCTAATGCAAACTTTCTTAATATTACGGATTATAGAAAAATTCCAAATTCTGTATATATTAGTCTGTATATTTATAAATTGCCATACCTCTCAAACAGCGGTATAATAATTTGTATATTATATTTTTAAATTTAGAATTTTTAGAATTCAGTAAGTTGCGAGACTAAGAACACCTTAAGGGCGTATTCTACTGTAGAAGCATGAATTTTGGCCGGTTTTTGAAGCGCTGTATAAAGGAAACAAATAATATTTTTTATGATTTGTTTATTGATATTTTATTATTACATAAAAAAAATTATTAACAAAAAAATAGAATTCACAAAGTTATGAGCAGTGAAAGTGGGGGCTCAAAAAAAAGAGGGCGTCCTGGGGTGCATGGTGCATGGATCACCTCCTGGTGATCCGAAACATAAAAAATAGATGGATTCTTAATTATTATAGATGCCGCTATCGTATGAATCTGGATAAGTTAAAAAAAATTTTTTTGTTTGAATGGCGACAGTTTGAAAAAAAAATTTTTTTTCATGTTTTTTTTTAACAATTCCGAATTTTCTAAAAATACTAAATGAAAAGTTATAGTTTTGGGAAAGGTTTATGCGATAAAGCGATATATAGAGAAGATCCTCTCCAAATTTGAAGTAAATCGGTTCATTAGAACTCGAGATATCCTTACCGCCAGCTCGAAAAAAGTAGTTCCGAGAAAAACGCGTTCAAAGTTTTGAGACTCGGTCGGACCCAAACCGAGGCCACGTCACTTAAACGGATATAACTCAGGAAATAATAGTGATTTTGAAAAATTCTTTCAATGACATATTTCTGAATAACTAAACTTTGAAAATATGAAAAAAAATTTTTTTCAAAATTCTACAGTAGAATACCCCCTTAATTCAGCTCGCACAAGTTACTCAAGCATTTAATAAAATTTATAGTTCTATGTCTATTGTCGCATAGTGCACACAATCGTTTAAAAAAGCAAGTAATTAATTTTTTATGAAGTGATAACGGCAAAGGCAGCAGTAAGGTGTAATCGACGCCTTAACGGATATTTTAGATATTTAATATCGAGATAAAATATCTCATAGAAAAAATAATATTTATAAATTAAATCTTATATAAATTCGCATTTCTTATACGCTAACACCTACATCATAAGTTCCTATTCGTGTATTTCTATAGCCTTACGTATGCCTATACGTTGCATTCTATACTACATGCCTTACATCTATACCATGCGCTATATTTCATCACATACTCTCAAATCCCTACATTGTATACCGAATACACCTAACCTATATCTACTATATATCCTATTACCTATATTTTTTTACACGCTACATTAACCCTACCGAGAATCGAACCCGGGTCCGCCGCGTGGAACGCGACGACCTTAACCACTACACCACCGTAACGTTACAATCAACCGTCTTTTTTCGCGTGTCGTCGCGCCACCTCAGTATTAATTATCTAATTAATTAGAAAATGACCCGCGGAAACAACAGTGCGTCCCATATTATATTATTAATGGGGGTACCCGATAGAGTAGTGGCTAAGGTGCGCGACTTCCACGCGGAGGTCCCGGGTTCAATTCCCGGTATAGACAATAGATAATATATATAATAGGTAGAGATAATACATAGAGCGTAAGGTAAACCTATATAATATAGGTGAACATATAAATTAGACAGTAGTATTTATTTATAAGAAGTAAAAGGTATGTAGGTATATAATAAGTTAATGACGGTATAGATATCTCACGGTATGATAGATAATAGTATGATAGATTAAATATCTATATATGATATACAATAATATAGTATAGTATGATAGGTAATAGGTTATCTATCATATTATTAATAGAATATATAAATTAGACAGAAGTATTTATAAGAAGTAAAAGATATGTAGGGTATATAATAAGTTAATGACGGTATAGGTATCTCACGGTATGATAGATAATAGATATCTATCTATGATATACAATAATATATAATAGTATAGTATGATAGGTAATAGGTTATCTATCATATTATTAAGATAAGTCTTATAAAGTATTGTAATAAATCTTGAGTACGTTTATATCATAATAAATACATGTAGGTACTAATGAATACAAATAATACCAGAATAAATATAATTAATGTCATTGAAGAATATAAATTATATACTCAATGATTCCCTTATACTTGTACAATTTAATGTATAGACTAGCTGTATATAATAGAGTTAATTATAGAATAAGTCAATATATTACATTTGTGAGTTCTTATCGAAATTTATCAAATTTTTTGAACCGGTTTATGAACCGGATTTTAAATTTTAGCGTTCCGGCAAAAAAAATATTAGCACAATACCACTGTATATATATATATATATAATAGTATAAAATAATACCTGTAGCACAACTTCCATCGCAAATGCCTCCTGTTTTTATAGCTGGTCCACAGCCGCACCATGATCTTTGACTCTGACTTGAGCCTGAAAAATAATTAAAAATTAAAATTAAATATTGAAATAAATGAAATGACCGAAATGCCATAAAAAATTAGAAAATATTCTAAAACTTAAGAAATATATTTATAATTGTGGAATAACAAATTTATGAAACAATTATTACCTCTCCGTAGGGTAAGTTATAGTAATCGTCCAAAAATCGAAAATGATAAATTTTGCAGATCTTAATGTTTTGAAGGTTTCTGAACATTTTGGCATACCTTAGAAAAAATCGATGTGTGTGTATGTATGGATGCAATTTTTCGTCTAAGATTTTGGGTAGTTGGATCAACCGATTTGAAGGAGTTAAAAAAAATTCAATTCCTACTGATGGGAGTGACGATTCCTACTGATGGGAGAGATATATGGATACAAATTTTTGTGGACGATATCGGGCGCACGGGTCAACCGAATTGAATGATTCAAAAAACATTCGATACTTACTGATAAGAAGACTGATGATATCTGGGGTAAGGCATCTTTTTAAATTTAAATTTTGGCATATTTTACAAAATATAGATGTATGTGTGTGTGTATGTATATACATAATTTTTTGTCCACGATTTCGGGCGCACGGGTTAACCGATTTGAATGATTCAAAAAACATTCGATTCTTACTGATAAAAAGGACAATAATTTTTGGGGTCAAACATTTTTTTTAAATTTATTTTTTTTTAATTTACATTTTGGCATATTTTACAAAAAATGTATGTATGTGTGTGTGTATACATGGATACAAATTTTTGTTGACGATTTTGAGCGCACAGATCTACCGATTTGAATGATTCACAAAACATTCGATTCCTACTGATATGCGAAAGACGATGATTTTTGGGATAAGACATTTTTTTAAATGTTATTTTTTTAATTTAATTTTTTTTTATTTGAATATTACAAATAAGTCGGATTTTACTTAAATTCTAGCTAAAATTCTTAAGTCAACTTATATACTTCAAATGAATAATTTTATTTCTGCAATTTAGTTTATATAATTCTTAGAAATATGAAATAAGATTCTTTCAAAATTTGCTTCGCTTAATTAAGATTTATTTATTTACTTTTCATGTAAACATGTATCAACGTCGTCGGCCAATTTAAAAACTTTCATATTTTGTCTATAAAATACGAATAATGATAGATACAGTATTTATAATAATCTATTTGAAAACATTCACTACTCTTCATACCGCACGCAAAGTTCCAGCAACTTGCCTTAAGGCACGATGCCATGCACCACTAGTTTAATTATTCAATTATTTCCATAACTATATTTGAACAAAATATATATGCTAGGGTATGACAGGCCACAAAGATCCAATTTTACTTCGAGCAATTATTTTGTGAAAACGAAACCATTTATACCACAACAAATAACACATATCAAACAAACAACTATCTGACTATATTCAGTAAAACTCCCAGTTAATTTATCTTTGCAGACATATGTTGTTTTTTTAAAAAAAAGTCACCTGGCCCTTTTTACTTCATAGGCGGGGTATGAAATAAATATTATTTTCTGATTTAAGGCGATGATTGATTACACATCAATTTTCCTCTACTTAAAAATAGTTTTATTAAAAAAAATCCTCACTTTACTTGTTTTGGAAATAATGGTCGTGAACCTCTTCACCCGCAAACCTTCAAGCCTAATTCTCTATCCCAATTGAGAACAAAATATAAATCTGTCAAAGCAAGATCTATAACAAATAAAATTCACTAAAAAGTTTGTTAAACTAATAACAAGAATTAAATAAATATCCACTTCCCCAAATAAGATCTTCTACCCCCAACTTTTCTTCCATTAAAAACATCCCATCGCCTCGTTAGGCAAAGTCAATATAAACTGATTCACCCTCATTTTACTTAGTCCATAATCAAATTTTCCTTATCCTTAAACTAGAAGAATAATGTCAATAACAGTTCATAATCAGATTACCATTGCCATTCCCCATGACTGACTCTAAAGGTTCATCCGCCCTGGATCAATAATAGTTTCGAAGGAAAATGTCAGGAAATCCTTTTGTCATTTTTCTGCAGCTCATTTTTCCTGAACATTCGTCGTGGAAATAAAAGATCGAGCTTGTTATTGGAGACGACTGTTTGGAAAATAAATAGAAGAACTAATGACTGCCGTCAGTTTTGTGCTTTTGTGGAAGGAAAACAATAATAGGACAAATGTCAAAAATATTGACGTGAGTGAATTTTTTGACATTTGTGAGATATAAAATAGATCAATTGTCAATTTGGTCGGAATAAAAATATTGCAAAATATTGTTTATAAAATTTGGGCAAATTGAATCTCTTTATTTCTAGACCAATTCTATTAGGTAGGAAACAAAAGTCCAATTTGACTTTGTGCAAATATATTGTGAAAACCGAACCAATCGTATCACAATAAATAACACACATCAAACAAACATCTATCTGACTAAGTTCAGTTGTAAAAATGTGTTTTTTTGTTATTTTTCAAAAATTTGTCACCTGGTCCTTTTTACCCCATAGGCGGAGCAAAATGGGGCAGCCATGGGGAAAATAGGCCCAATGTCTTATTTTCCATTTTCAAGAGATTTTACGAAATAATAGCTACATCATTCAACCAATGCGAAATATAAATTTCATAGGTACATTTTTCACAAAGAACACTGTATATAACCTTGATCTGGTATTTCAGAAATATTCATCAGCAGAGTTGGAAAAACTATTTATTTAATTTATCTCTTGTAAAATTGCTTTTTTAAACTTATTTTACTTTTTTATTTAATATTTTTCATTGTTTTCATTTTTGCCAGGGTAAAAGGTTTAATTATTTTTTTTACCCTATCGAGGTGTAAGCTTAAAGAGATTATATAATATAAAACAAAGTAAGCTTGAAGAGGTTATATAAAAAAACTGTTGCATCTAATTTAAAACTAGTGGTGTATGGCGTCGTGGCTTAAGAAAAATTGCTGGAACTTCCCGTACCGTAACGAAATATTTAAGGAATAAAATTTAGTGAAAAAAATATTTTTTGGGAATTAAAATAAAATCTTTCCCCAAAAACAATCGTTTCGTCAACACAAATCTCTATCAATTTTTGAACCATTTAAATCTGTTAATCCATACATACACACAAACACACACATCAATTTTCACTAAGGTATGCCAAAATGTTCAGAAACCTTCAAAACGTGAATTTACAAAAATTTCCAATTTAGATTTTAGGACGATTACGATAACTTACCCTACGAGAAGTTAATTAACAATACATCTTATAAAACAATTAAAAATAACGCATAGTCAAAAATTATATTAGGGTCTCGTAAACTAAACAACAGTGCTCACTACCAAAAAAACTAACAACGAAAGAAATAATTTTGTTGTAGATTTTCAAACATTTTCGATTTTCTCTAGATTGCAACTACGTTGTAAGAATCAAGGTTATGGCTGGTTAAATATATTTTTCCCTCTACTTTCAAATATTATTGTTAAACAAATTATTTTTACTTGTTTTTGAGATATCTGTGGTGGATCTTTTTACTCCAGGATTTCTATTACCCGAGTTCCAATTTGTTAGTAAATAATAATTACTTTTAAATTATTATGTTACAAGGATATACGGGCACTAGTTGATTAAATTAATAATATGTATATAAATTAATTGTTTGTACATGGTGTTATTCATCAATTTCTGCCAACAGACGCGTCTACATATGCATATGTATTAAAATGGATGTTATTGCGGTCACAGATTTGCATTTCGATTTCTAATGTCACAGCTGGGCGATATTTCATAAAGTTGAGTCTTGAAATAGCAGTTTTACAGCCAAAAAGTAATTTAAATAACAGAGAATGTTGATGAAAATATAATCATGGTTCTCAAAATATTATCTTTGGTCCAGAAGATCCAAATCGATTTTAGAATGCTAATAATTAATTTAAAACATCTGCATCTGCCCAAAATATCATCAGTGATCACAGAAAATCTGAGACCAAATACCTAGACTTTTTTTGAAGTACCAATATTGAATTTGAGATATCAACGCAAAAACCATCGTAGATTTTGAAATTCAGTATGAAGCTCGAAAATCTACATAGATCTCGTAAATCGTCAATTCCAAAGAAAATTATCATTAATCTGAAAATCTATGCAGGTTTCACACAATAAGCATTTTATCTCACACAATCCTTAAAAACTATATAACTAATTCAGCACCTAACTCAAAATATCAGCATTTATCTTTTAAAATCAATTATTATTTCACAATCAGCCATTTTCTCTCATGATTATCATTTATATCATAAAATCAGCATTTGTTTAAAAAAAAACTGGCATTTATATCACAGAATCAGTATTTATCTCACACAATCTAAAACTTGTCTAAAAAAAACAGCATTCAACTTATAAAATCAGCACTTATCTCACATAATCGGTAATTATATAATAAAATCAGCCCTTATTCAAAAAAAAAACAACCGCCACCTCATAAAATCTTTAATTATTTTATAAAAAAAGCATTCATCACGTAAAATAAATATTTAGCTCACAAATTCAGCAATTGTCTTACAAAATTCGTATTTATCTTACAAAAACAGCATTTATCTCACAAAATCAGCATTTGTCTCACAAAATAAGCATTAATCTCACAAATTCAGCAATTATTTCAAATAATTCTTATTTATCTTACAAAATCAGCATTTATCTCGCAAAATAAGCATTAAACTCACAAATTCAGCAATTATTTCAAATAATTTTTATTCAACTTATAAAATCAGCATCTATCTTAAAAAACTGAGCATCTGTCTCACAAAATCATAATTTATCTCACAAAATCAGGACTTATTCTTCAATCCCATAAGATCAGAATCGATAACAAAATATCAGCATTAACCCCAGAAATTCATAAAAATAGTTTTTGAAGATTACCGTCGATCCTAAAAAATCTTAAAAATTAATTAACGAGTATATTCATGCAAATAGATCTAAATGAGATCTTTAATTCAGAGTA